GAAACGCTAAAACTGAGCCAAGTCGAAGCGCGTGGGCACGTCTGCTTTACAAGCCTTCGGTTACAGCACTGCTCCATGTTAAGGCATTAGACCCCTGGTTCTGCGAGCTCGGGGCCTGCTACAAGATGCGATAAATGAAGGTCGTTGTCAGCCTGTTTAGCGCTCTGCTTTACGATGGTACATTGCACTGTGTTCTTCGGACACCCCCCACATGCTGAGACTTGCAGCTCCTTGGAAACATGATGCACTAAGGCCTTGCAAAACTATCGCTTCTGCTAAAGCACTGCTTTTTGCCGCTGTGAGCAAATGGTCGCAAAGCCTTCGCGCTCCCTTGTGCTGCTGTCGGACGCCTCCATCGAAGACCGCGAACGTCGCGTTGATCGCATCACCCCATCACCCAGCCCCTCGCTCAGAGGATGCCCAGATCCTGGCCTTTTGTGGCCCGCAGTGGCAGATCGTCGCGCCTGGCGCCCGGTTTTGGTGCCGCGGTGGTACCTGCAAGGCTGCAAGGGTGCGTTCTGGCTCCAGATTCTGCCGGGCCAGGATCTGGCTGTTACTGTCAACATGTCAAAACGCTGTTAAGGCTGTTTTTCTCTGATTTTTTTCCGCTATCCGGGCCTTTCAGCAGTTTGCATCGCTCGCAGATGTCTTTTCGCAGGTCACGAAAGCCAGTGAGCCAGGCAGAGGAACAAAGAATGACCTTCGACGAAATGGGATTTTGAGGGTGCCTGTAGGATCCCGAAGCCCCATGTAGGACACTGGATGCTGTTCGTCTTTGGAGTGCAATTCCAGAGTGTGTTGCATGTGGAAGTATACGGGATCTTAGGATGGATTATATTTTTACTTGCCGCGAAAAGTAAAGCGTCAACCCAAAATACACGAACCCGCCACTCTTCCCGTGTCGACTCTTCGAACCTTGGGCAGAACTGCCCACTGCCGGGCCTTTCGCTCGACTCGCTTGTAGGATTCCAGATCGGAGCGCACAAGACTGGCGACCTTCGAAGACTCCGCGCTCTCTTTAATGTTTGGGAATACAGAGGACTTAAGTAGAACTAAGTAGGGTGTATTTTGTGGCTTCTGTGTTGTGATCCATGCGGGATGAAAATCAGGAGTTCGGTGTGCTAGGGTTTACATGTAGTTTGTTTGCATGGAAGGTTGTTGGGCTTGTTCAGGTGGGAAGTACCTCATTCACCCTTTGAGCACGCAGGCGACAATCAAAAGACAGACATGATGGTCATGTCGATGTGGATTGATGTGACTTTTGCGAAACCCAACAAGCACGGGGGAAGTTCTTAAATCGAGATCCTATGTTATTCTTGAGACTTAAAGAACAAGCCCAACGTCACAAGGCTCACGGAGGGAGCCAAAGAAGTACAACGTCCTCATCCCTCAACCTCCACACGCCCACAACAAGCCCGCCTCAATCAGCTTTTTGTCGGGCACGAGGTCACACTTCGTCAAAACAACCTGCAAATTCACTGACAAAACCTGAACCTCAGTGAAGCAACCCTCACTCCTAAATCCTTCAAGGCAAGAGCGAAACAGCAGCACGATAACTAGCCTCAACCCTGAACTTCAAAAGAGTGAACTGGAGTTCGGTCAACCGGGACTTGAAGATGCCCCGGAAGTCGGGACTTGGTTTAACTTTATCGCCGCCCGGCCCGCCGCCGCACGCTCCTGTCTGCCGCCCACAACAGTATAAAACCGCGAAGCCAATTGCAAATTCTCGAAGGGAAAAGGCGCGGCGTATTCCCCACTGAGCACACGGCGCGCCCACTGTCCGGCACGCCAGGGACATGATCGCACAGCTGTGCGCAGGAAGAACATGCGACAGTGAAAGCCCCATTCTGCTGCAAGCATCGGCAAGCGGCGGTAGGTTGGTCTCATGTCGCCGGTCTTCAGACGCCGGGCGCGTGAGACCACCTGCCACCCCACCGATTTGGGCGGAGTGGGCGGGTGCGAAGAACTGGCATGCTTGAGCAGCACACAAGCTGCACGTGGCAAAGCATGCTCGCTATATGTCACTCAGCGCACAAGTGCACACCACCACAAAGGATGCGGTTTGCGGCACCCAAGCTTCCTGCGCGCTCCACCTCACGCTTGGTGTGCAGGGAACTTGAACAGCAAGGACTGCGGTTGAGGAGTAGAAGGAGCCAGGTGCAGCAATGTTGTCGGCGCGGCCCGGCGAGGAGGAGAAAAAGGCTGCAGACCGAGCACGGGGGCCTCAAGGCCGCACACAGGAGCAGAGGAGGCCTCGAAGAGCTGAAGGTGCTGAAGAAGCCGGGTGGCGTCGCCCAAAGGCCTCTTATAGTAAGCTCCAAGTGACCAATGGATGCCGTCGGTGCAACACTATTGGCCTCCGCGCCTTGCATCCGCGTACGGCCTTAGGCGAAGCGCGGCTGAAGAGGAGGGCCGGGAAGGCACGCAAGACTCGGGCCACAGGTGAATCCACAGATGGAAGCCGGCCCAGGCACAAAGGCAGACGGCAAGCAAGAATCCAAGGATGAAGGAAAGGAGGAGAGCACAGAATGAGGAAGGGCCGCAGTAGAAAGGGCAACCCCAACCCAGAAATTAGAAGAAACCCCCGAATGGACAGGCGAAGAAGACTTCCGAAGTCCATCCCCGCAAAAGACCCCGCTCGAACTTTGAGCAGCGGCCGAAATTTGATTCACCAGCAGCTTATTGTTCAGGGTTTAGGGTTTAGGGTTTGAGGACGCACGGATGAACAGGGCTCTAGCATCAGGGATCCGTCACACAATTCAACCCGCAGCTATGACTGCGTGAAGGAATCCTACAAAAACCCTAGAACACTTTAAACTGCTGTAAGACCCTCTAACAAACTGAGGCTTAAAAGGCTGTGCAAAAGCCACAAACCTTCAAAACGCTGTATCATGGATCAAGCTCTATGCTGCCCTAAAAACCCGCATTGAAACAGGGTAAAGTCCCGCAAACCGCGATACAAACCCTTCAAACCCTTCTTTACAGAAGGGACCAGAAGACAGCTTCCCCAAAACAAGATCCCTTTTATCCACACATGGGTAGTTTTCTAAACTAGGTTGCCGTTTGGGGTCCTTTTTCATACGGATGCCATGCTATACTATTTTGGGCACTTGAAAGGGGACCCTAAGTTAGAGAACTACCCACATAACAGTACCCCACTGCTCCTGCTTCATGGGCCCAGCAGATCCCAGCTCGCTCAGCCACTCGTGGTCGGACCATTTGAAGCCGTGCCGGGCATCGATCAAAACGTACCTCGGTGAAGTTAGGGGCTTAGGGTTTAGGGGCTTAGGGGTTGAGGTTTTAGGTTCAGGGTTTAGGGTGTAGGGTTTATGGGTAAGTGTTCTTCTTCAGGCGCACTATAAAAAGTTATTAAGTGGTTTACTGTAAGGGCTTCTATAGTAGGCATTCCTAGCAGAACGTAGCTCAGAAAGCGCTTACGGCTCTAATAAAGAGGGCCGGCCCCAGTAGTTAAGCAGAAGGATTCTTATGAAGTTCTAGGGTTTCAGCTTTAAGTTGGGAGGCTTGGAGGTTTGGGTGTACGGTTTAGGGTTTAGGGTTCGGAGGTGTGTAAGGAGCAGTGTTTAGCTCCCGAAATGAGAAGTTGCGGCTTAGGGCTACCAATCTTCGGCCCCGCGACAGGCCCCTCAAAGACGTCCGGTTCCGCACGAAGGCCAGTGCCTGATCTCTAAGTCGCATAGATCTCTAAGGTTTAGGGCTTTCCATATGCCGCCTGCCAGGCACGTGGAGCGAACACCGCTCCATCCCAAAACCCTCAACAGCCAGAAAATAACCCTCCGGCCTGGGTGCTCAACCCCGGACCCGATAAACTGCACAGAAACAGCTTTGAGACCCGCTCCTCTGGGCCGAAGACCCGGGCGCGGGCAGAGTGGCCATAGCCGGGCATGTCCTCAGGCTCACCAAACCCCTAAGCCCTACACTACTCCCACACTCACCTAAATGCTAGACGCTTTGGGATTGAATTTCAGAGGCTCCAACACTTAACAAGGGCTCCTGGTTGGGGATCCCAGCCACAAGTTGAGGACTCTTCACTATTCCTTGGTTCAAGGTTTCGGAGATTTTTGGAATCTTTCTACTTGGGTTTTGGAATGAGGCTTCTTCGTGGTTCCTCTATGCGCAGGCCAGGCCAGGCGTCAATGAAGTCCACTTTGACCTTCTTGTTCCGATACCAGGCTGCCTCCTTCGTCTGGCCGGGCATGCTCGACACCCGAGCGACCGTCCCAAACTGGCTGATCTTGTTTAACCTCACACGAGCGCCATGCAAGAAGTGGTCCGCCAAAGGGAAAGCTTTCCCAGGCCCAGGCACCAACTCCCCCCCCCTCCATCCAAAGGTCCCAGCAACAGACTGCTCTTCCCAACGTTAGAGCGGCCGATCACGGCCACCTCAGCGTAGGCCGGGTCTGCCTTCGGCCATTTCCTGGAGTGCTGCAGCGGCGCCTGACTGGGGAAATCAAGAGTTCGTGCCAAGTCGCTGGTCCAGTTATACAAGGGATCGGCAAGATAAGGGATAAGGGTCTTAAGGCTTCAGAGTTTAGGAGCTTCCTTCTGCGGGCTTTCGAGGACTCAAGCCCGTTTACAGGGCTTTCGGAATTCGACAGGGGTTAAAGTTTCGAAGGAAACTCCACAAGATTTTTCCGCGGCTGCACAGCGACAGCCCTCCAAAGCCCTAAACCCGAAACCCTAAACCCTCCCAAACTGAGTTCTTTGTTGGTCCAGTTGCGGGTCTCGTCAGCTCTTAAGAGGCGCATTGCAGAATCCCGGACCATCGCTCCCAGCCCTCATCCTTAAAACCCTAAACCAAGACCGCAACTGAACGTCCAAGGGATTCAGACTCCCCAACCTTGTGCCACTGCCTTCCACTTTCTTTTTAAGGCACATTTTCCAGCCTTGGAGAAGAGCCGTGTCCTCGAGGAGGCGAGCGTATCGGCGATTCGGTCCAAAGCCGTCGGCTCCACCTTTGGAACTTCCAGCTGCGATTCAAACTCTGAGCTATGGTAATAGCATCCTACATCCGGACGAGATGGGCCTTCTTTTGCTTGAACTTGGCAGCATGGTTCGCGCGGTGGTAGCCGCCTTGCCGGTTGACACTTCGGGTGTTGCATGGAGCTCGACGATCAGGAACGTTGAAGATGTGTCAAGCTGCACGCTGAAACGACAAGAGACTCTCGATCCCAAATTTGAGCGCCACAACCCTGAATGAAAACGACCGTGCCTTTCCCGTTAAAGTTTTCTTCCACCTGTCGGATCACATCCTTTGCCAGCGCAAGCACTCCAGGATCCGGGATTTTGGCGTTCTCGTTCGGTGGCCAGCTTTCGGGATGTTGGATTGACAGCTGGGAAAGAGAAAGGAGGCTGAAGAACACCCAAGCATCGGGATAGGGAGCGATGTTCCGCAGACGCTCCTGGACTGGAAGCCCCTGAAGCCTCGAAAAGATTACCTTGCATCCCCAAATGCTCCTGCAAGTGCGGCAACAGCCCGGCAGCGGTCCATCCCAAGAAGCTTCATGATTGCAGAGTGTCAGAGAAAGAACAAAACCGACCGAAAACTTGAACCTCAGACCCAAACTGCTGAACCCCCCGGGCGGCATCCTTGAAGGACTGATGGAGCGGGGAGTACTCCAGTGGCCGATTGCCCTTGCCGGAGGCCTCCTTCGGCCTCTTCACCCCCCGGGCCTCGTCCAAGCTCCTTATCTGAACATCAATTCTGGGAGATCTTTCTGCTAGGGGCTCAAGATTCTGGATTTTGGGCTTAATTGCCAGGCTTAGGGTTCAAGATTTCGGGTTTAGGCATTTGGGAACTTGATTCTCGCGGATACCCACTGAAAAAACGAAGCTTTCAGTTCAAGATGGGCGTCTGAATCTTCTGCTTCCGACTTCTTCAGTCTCTCTCTCATGAAAGCTAGGACGCGTTATTTCATACCAAAAAGCCCCTGTCCTTTGTTGTGAACACTTTGGACTTCAGCACCAAATCAAGACCTTCATACGAACGATGCAAGGCAGAACCGAAGCTCTGCATCCTCTCGCGCGCTACCACAAAACTCAAGAGGCCCTACACACCACAACCCCGCAGTCCAAGACATCCTGGGACCCGACATTATAGAGCGAAACGACAATCCGAAACTGACATCGGTCCAAGGGTCCGTGGCTCCCGGAGCCAGGGTGCCACACCTCGTAGGGACACTGGGCCCCCGACAACCCCAGCATTCCGAAGCCGGCTGCGGTAACCTGAGCTTCTTAGGAGTTTGAGGTTTTAAGGTGTCTGGAGTCTGAGGCAAAAGGTCGGGAGTTCGCGAGGGAATTGGCGGATTCCCTCTTCTCAACGTGTTCGATGTGTTCAATGCGCTCTCAAAGCCGCCAACTCCTGGTGCAGGGCTTCCGTTTCAGGCTTTAACATCCAGGAAGCATCCGGCGAAAGCTTGGTCAAGGACTTCGCATGCCAACATGACTCCGGCAGCAGCCAAAGCCAGTCTCCATCCAAGCCATTGCATGCTTGTTCAATCTTAGTGTGGACCCTTGTGGCCGACTACATATCAAACCAGAAAGGTGATTTGCGCGTGGTATTTGTCTTCACTATGCACTATGCCTAAATAATGCAGCTGTGCATGCACGAGAAACACATGACCCGGTCAAACTAATTGTTTGCATGCAAAGTGCACTCCGAGGTCAACTAGCTACGGAGCGTTTTGGCACACCATGGGTGTCTCGCGCTGTAGACCTGATCACAATTCCAAGCTGAGCATTGCTTGCTCGTGCTTTGGACTTCTTCGGCGACGAAGTTGCATGTGGCATCTTTGCACAATGATCTCGTCAGCGGGTCCCAACTTCGGGCTTCCAGATCAAGGATAGTCTCCCACGGACATGACACCAAAGCCTCGTCCGCTGGATCCGAAAGGCCGTGCTCGGCGTTGTCGGCGTTGTTTTTTTAAAACGTGGTCGGCCTCATCGACAGCGAACCTCTCTCTTATATCCACGTTTCAAAGCTACGCACTGTTTGAGTGTAGTCTTTGGCTGTTTCGTTGATGGGTAAGTCCTTCTCCCTTGATCTGACGGAACTCGTTCCAGAACGCGGCCCTGGGGGCTCAGAGCAAATCTTTTGGACCATAGTGTGGCTCTGAAAGGTAGAGGTTTGAGATCTTTGCAGGCTTAGAAACTCAAAGACTCCACAAACCCTCTCGAAAGATTCCAGAAAGATTCCAGTTGTCTAACCGATATTTCACCGATGCTTGCAGACTCGATGAATTGCAACACACCGATGAGTACTGCAGGCGATATTCCGACGACGAGTGCTGCACTGTTGCGTCGGTGCGACGCCGCCCGTATCGCAATCCAAATCCAGCTTACAACAAAGTGTAACGAGCAAATTCCGCGTGTGTGTGAGAGACCCTAAACCCAAGATTATGGTATGTGGCGTGAAAACATGTTTTTGTGCAATTCGGCGAAAAGCAAATCAGTTGGTCAACACTGGCCACTAGCTCGGAGGATTGTGGATCTCAGAAAGCGGGGGGCCAGTGCAGTTCATCTGCAAGGAGCGTTTGGTGGTTGGGGGGCGCCTAACAACTGGTGCGGTGGCTCATGCCCAGTGGCCTCCAAGGACAGAAACGGTGGCAGCAGCATCATCTTTTTGAAGCATGCCCCAATGCTCACAGGTCAATGGGNNAGTGTGGGAGATGATGTGCATTGCCCAACTATTCCTGTTATAAGTACTAATATGTTTCCATATGTGTACGTATTTTCATAATACTTATATTCATATAATGCTCAGCTGATATGAGTTATACTATTACTGTAATATTTTGTTTGCGATGATTTCTCTAGTATTTTAGTAAAGAGTTGAAGCCAAGCAGTATACCAATGACATATTCACTCCTGTCAACATTAAGTGAGAAATTGAAACTCACTATATCTGAATAACTGAATAACCAAGCATATAGACTACTCTAAGCTTCCAAGTGTTGAAAGAGCAATTAGAGTACTCCATTGTCTCATAATTTGTCTTGTAAATCTACTTATTCCAAAACATACCAACGGAATGCATTAAAACAATGGAAGGTGTAAGTATTGTGAATCTTCGTATTTAGCTTAATTTCAATATTGTAGTAATACATAGCGTTAAATTCCAGAGTACGAAGCAACACTGAGTATTAGTAGTAGTAATGATAAAAGAAAACAACAGCCGTAAAGTATTCAAGCTGATAAAAAAGAGGGGAAGGTGCACATTAAACATTTAGTTGAACAAGTAACAAAGGATGATGACTACTGTGGAGGCTTCTTGTCCGCGGCTATTGCCGCCTTCTATCAACATCCAAAAAATTCAAAGGCACCAACTCTTACTCAATCGAAAAAATAAGTTTCAAACCTGAATGTCTCGAAGCGAAGCACCTGGACCGCCGAATCAAATGAAAAACATCAATACTTTCCAGAGAAACTACGTGACAAGTGCCATTTTTTGATTGCTCAAGCAGCCAGACTCTGCTCTAAGAACACAAGAAAATGCTTTTTCCCAAACGGAACTCTGTGACAGTTGCACATTCCCAATGAAAAATAAGCTTTACATTGGAGAAATATTCTTAAAAGTTGTGTTGTTTTTTCGTTTTTGTGCAATCTACTTTGTTGTATTTTCCTCGTTTGGCAAATAAAAAAAAACGCGTTCAGAAACGACCAATACTTGCTCCAATTGTTTTTTCTCTTTCAAGTGGCCGCGGCGAAACCCAACAACAGGTAATTATGTAAATTTATTTGGCAAGTCCAAAAAGCCAAGAAAGCACCATGTTGTCAAATGATGCCTTTTAAATCATCGGACCTACTCGAAATCCAGAATTTAACGACGAGTTTAATCCAAGCAAAAGCGAGCGCATGCTTAGAAGCTCCTTGAACCAACTGAAAGTTCAAGAGAAATCACCACCAGTAAGGGCAGTGGAACAGCTCTTTCGTTGGTGGAGCCTCCACTTCCAGCTAGCTTAGCCGTGCGAACATTGACCAAGTTCAAGACTAAAGGCTACAAGACAAAGCTGTGTCCATACCTTCTGTTGAGGAAAGTGATCGAAGAAAGTACAGACCTCACTGCTTGCTCCGAGCTGGACTCCAGACCTTCGACGAAGGAGGAGTCTTAAGGGAGGCTTCAAGGGGAGCTCAAGGGAGACTTCAAAGGTGGACTTAGGAGACACGTGAAAGGAAAGCAGCACGTCTTTTTGCCCTTCAAGCCATCTTTAAGCCCCCTTCAAGCCTCTTTCCAGCATCTTTGAGCCTTCAAGCCCCTTTAAGCTCTTCAAGCCCGCTTTCAAGCCTTTTTTAATCGTCTAGAATTCCCGTCGATTGGAACGTGGAACCATAAGTCACGCTTGAAACTGAACTCAGTACTCCTCCAGATCTCAAAGTCCCTTTCGTCGAAGGCGTGGAGCCCATGCAGGCGTGCAAGACTGCAACCTCTGACCTGCTGTTTCTTCGAATCATCTCCAGTACTCGGCTGCACGTTCCATTCTCACAAGCACAACAGCAACACACCTCAAGTTTGTCGTGTTGGACTCTTTGTTTCGTTCAGTTGTCAAGAAAAAGAGCGTTCCCACGTTCCGCTACCACGTTAAAGGCACAAACAAAAACTTTGCAAGACAGATATTGCTGCTGCATTTGGTAAGAATGCAGCAATTTTCAGTTTGATTGTTTGACGAACACGTACACTTAAGCTAAGCAAAAATTTGGAGCCAGAAACGGAAACTGCATTACTGAAGAGAAAAGTCTTAGCACTGTCCCCGCCATTGGAACGTTGTGGAGGCGCTCACATATTCAAGGTCGCCCTTAGGTCGAGCGGGCACCGCAAGCTGCGCAGGAGCCGTTTCAAACACAATTTTTTTGTGGCTGTGGGCAAGAGGTCTCTGAGAATCCACCGAAAAGGGGCTGTGGACAAAGTCCGATGACCTGATCCGTTGTGAATTTTATGATTCTCTTGAGGGAGTGGATTTTAATGCTGTTTGCAAACATTGCTTTCCGCTAGAGCCCGCAGCTGCTTCTTTCAGTTGCTGAGGGGGCTAATCTCA